TTCATAAGTACTTGTAAAATGGATCACACTTTATATTTCTATTGTGATAAGTGTTTCGTGTGTGTTTTTGTTTTGTTTTTTCATTTTGCAGTGCTAGGGATGGAAGGAACCCCAGGTGTCAGTATGCTAGGCAACAGATCTGCCACCAAACCATACTCCCAGCCCCTCTATACTTAAAAATTTTATCATTTATTTATTTATCAAGACAGGGTCTCATCAGGTAGCCCAGGCTGGGTGATCTTCTTGCCTCAGCCTCCTGAGTGCAGTTATAAGTATGTGTCACTGAACTTAGGACCTTGTGCTTACACAGCAGGCACGGTACCACTGGGATAAATCCCCTGTCCCTATTTTGTTTTGTTTTTTTGAGACAGGGCCTCACTATGTAGTTCAGGCTGGCCTTAACTCACTATTTAGCCCAGGTTTGGCTCGATTTGGTGGTGATCCTCCTGCCTCATCCTCCTGAGTGTTGGGATCACAGGTGTGCACCACCTCACCTGGCAATATGCTTAAATTTTTGAGGACCTACCATACTACTTTCCTTAGCAGCTGCACTATTTTCCACTCCCCTCCCCCAGCAGTGTGCAAGGGTTTTCTTTATTCCCCATTCTCAGCACCTCTTCTTTTTTCTTTAAATAACATCCACCTGGAGCAGGGGTGCAGCTCAGCAGCAGAGTACATGCTTAGCATGAGGCCCTGGGCTGTGAGTCGCAGGCACAAAAAAGAAGGGGGGTGGCTAAAAGGCCCATTTCCGGGTTTTCTCCTTTGGCTGGGTCTGTCTGAAAGTGAAAGAAACATTCACACAGAACAGTTCACAAACCCAGTGGGCCTGGAGAGCAGCGGGAGGGCAGGTATTTCTGCAGAAGTCTCACCCTAGGAATAGAAACACAAGTACTGACCATCACCCACCAGGCACAGACAAAGCTCACTTCACTCTCTCAACAACCCCATAAGGACTGTGGCCGCCTCCAGGGGTGTGACAAGGCAGGCAGACTTGGAGAGGAGGGTGGGGAACCTCAGCCCCTTCACCAGGCTCCTTAATGATCCCCCACCCAGCACCCTGATAGAACATGAAGGGGGAGGTTAAAAAGTGTCTCTCTTGCAGGTGGACTCAAAATGCATGTACAGAACATCACCCTTTCTGGAAACTTCTTTAAAGAAAAGAACATGTAAACTGAGTGTAGAAGTGAAGGACTGTAATTCTATCATTCTGGGAGGCTGAGGCAGGAGGGTGGCAAGTCTAAGCCAAGCCTGACACTTAGAGAGACCCTGTCTCAAAAAGAGCTGGGGATATAGCTCAGTGCAAAGGACCTGGATTCCATCCCGAGTACCAGAGCCAGGCATGGTGGTATATGCTCATGGAGTCACAGCACTATGGAGGCTGAGGCAGGAAGATTATCAAGAGTTCAAAGTCAGCTTGAACAGTGAGTTCAAGGCCAGTTTGAACTACATAGCAGAACCTTGTCTCAAGAAACAAAACATCCCCAGTATAAAAAAAAAAAAGGAAGGAAGCCCTAAAAACTACAGACAAAACCCTTAATCTGGGATTGTAAACATTTAAACCAGCCTGAGAAATCTACACTATCCTTGCTGTTTTCATGCATGATTGAAGATCTAAACCTGGTGTAGAGAGGCCAGGGCCCGGAAGCAAGTCATCAGGAAGTGAATGAATGGCCCACGGTGATCACAGACACAACGCCCCCTTGGGGTGCCCCGCAGGACCCCAGAGATTTGCCGGTGGAACTTTCCTGTCGGTGGCCCTGAGCCCCTAGTCCTCTACAGGTCCATTTTTATTAAGTGTGAACCACCCACTTACTGCTGTTTTCCGTTTCACCACGTCACTACCTTTTTCTTTCATACCAGGGATTAAACTTGGGACCTTGTGCTTGTGAGGCAGGCGTGGTACCAGTGAACTAAATCCCTGGCCCCTTCCCTACCTGTCGTAACTCTCAGAGAAGTCTTTTTGCAATTATTTAAAAATATCCTATGGTAATATATCATTAGGGCTTTTGTTTTATTTATTTACTTAAGGTTTTGTTTTGGTTTTTTGAGACAGGGTCTCATTGTATAGTTAAGGCTGCCTTTGAACTCATGGTGATCCTCCTGCCTCAGCCTCTAGAGCTGGGATTATAGGCGTGCGCCAGCATATCCAGCATGACCATTTGTATCAGTCAGTGCTTACCAGAGAAAATAGATTTAATACAAGACATACAAATATATAAGAATTTACAAGCGAGGTATGGTGGCCCACGCCTCTCATCCCAATACTTGGGAGGCTGAGGCAGGAGGATCAGTGTGAAGTCGAGCCCAGCCTGGGCTGCACAGTGAGTTGAAGCATAGCTTGCATTACACAGTGAGACCCTGTCTCAAAAAAAGTTGTAAAAAAAAAAAATGTACAAGATTGGCTTGTGACCGCCACCCACAGATTCAGATTCCAGGGCGGGGAGAAGAGTGCAAAACGTCCCTCTGTGCAGAGCATCTGAAGGGTCCAGCTGAAGGCCCAGAGCGTCCCCCGACCCCGGAGTCGGGAGGCCAGGAGCCCACGTGGAAGGTGCAGGCAAAGACCGGAGACCGGAGCTCCTGCGAAGAAAGAAGCAGCCTTGCTTCTCCGTCTCCCTGCTGCAGAACAGGATGGGTCTCCCTCACCCATGCCCGTGCGGAGCCACTCTGCTGGGTGTCCCTCACTCACGTGGACAGTCTGTCAACCAGTGTAAGACTTCTGAGCCTGACTGCGCAAGGAGTTCAAGGCTAGCCCGAAGGACAGAAGGAGCCGCTCTCAAAGAAAAATAGAAACAGTGGCCAACGTCCTTTAAGGGTGTGGGTCGGACTCTGCGCTAAACATTTCGCCACAATCTTGCCAGTGTCTGCTTATGCCCGTTTTACACTCAGCAAAACCGTGCTCCCGCGAGGGGAAAAGGAAGTAAAAAGGATCAAGATGAGAAAAGTGTATACTAATTCCTTCAGATGAGTGGAAGAATGTATTTACTGCCATCGTAAAAATGTACTTTAAAAAAGCAAAATGCAAAAAACAAAACTTTATCCTCTTTGTGTCTTTGTGCTGCTCTGCGCTTCCTGCCTGATCTGTGCCCTCTGTGCTGTGATTCGCTCTACACAGAAAGCTGTGGATCTGTTTCCCAGCGAGACGGCCACCACCCTGTGTGCCTCCATTCTGTGGTGCCCTATCCTCTCTCTCATTTTGCAGGAATCAACTGAGAACCTTGCGCATGTCAGGCAGGCGTGGCACGCTGAGCTGCATCCCCAGTCCCTCATTCTGCATTTTTGTGACCTTGCTTATTTTTCTGAGCCGATTCCAGAAACTGTTTGTTGACTGCAAATCTGACCCCAGCCTGAATCATCCTGCTGTCCAAGTAAGAGAAAGACAGGAGAGAGTTCACTTCCTGAGTTTGGTACTAAAATACCAGATGCCGGAGCTGGTCTTGGTGGCACACACCTGTATTCCCAGCACTCGGGAGGCTGAGGCAGGAGGATCGCTGTGAGATTGGTGGGCTACATAGTCAGTTCAGGGCCAGCCTGAACCACAAGGGGAGAGCCTATCTCGAACCCCCCCTCAAAAAAAAGAAATACAAGATTCCTGAAGGTGAGACAAGAAATGCTGATTTCTGTGCATGTCCCTAACCTGGCCCCTCCCACAATGCACTCTGGGAGGCTGAGGCAGGAGGATCACAGAATGAATCCAACCCGAGCAACATTGTGATTTAACAAGACCCTGCCTCAAAATGAAAAAGGGCTGGGAATGTAGCACCGTGTGAAGGCCCTGCGTTTAACTCCTGGTACCACAAAAATAAATAAGCAAACAAAAATAAATAGCACCACTTCCTCGAAGACTCAGAAGGGGCATTTGAGGGACTAGTCATTATTTTTAGGGATTTTGTGAGACAAAGTCTTGGTACATGACCCAGGCTGGCCTCAAACTCACCGCGATCTTTCTGCCTCCCCTCCCCCTCATTTTACAGAAGGGAAAGTGAGGCCCGGAGGATCGACTCGCCAAGATTGTGGTGCCGGAGAACTAGAGGCGCAAAGTGGGCAGTGCAGCGAGATATGCATCCCCGCTGCATTGAGGCCAGAGCAGAGCTGGATGCCAGGGGGTCTGGTGGGAGCACCGCCAACAATCACTTTTCTGTTTTGCTACAGGCTCCCAAAATGATCGTCCTGTAGAGGCCCGGATCTTCCCTCTCCCACCATGCAAGTTTGGTTGTTATTTTGTTTTTAACAGCACTGGGGCTTGAACCAAGGGCCTTTCTACCGAGCTGCACCCCATCCTTTTTGTTTTGTTTTGTTTTTTTTGAGACAGGGTCTCACTATGTAGTTGAGAGTGACCTGGAACTCATTATGTAGCCCAGGCTGGTCTCGAACTCACTGCGATCCTCCTGCCTCAGCCTCCTGAGTGCTGGGGTTACAGGCATGCACTTCGTCCTTTTAAAATTTATTCTCTCTCTCTTTTGTACCTGAGATTAGACTCGGGACCTTGCACTTGCGAGGCAGGAAGCGGAATCACTGAACTAAATCCCCAGCTCTAAAATTTATTTTGATTTTATTTATGTATTTTGTATCAGGGATCGAACTCGGTTCTTTGCACTTGTGAAGCAGGCTGTGGAACCACTGAGCTAAATCCCCAGCCCTCTAAAATTTAATTTGAATCAGGGTCTCGCTAAATTAAATTATCCGTTTGGGCTCCAACTTTCGATCCTCCTGCCTCAGCCTTCCACTGCTGAGAAGATAGGCGTGGGCTGTCCTCACGATGCAAATTCTCTGGCTGGAAAGTTTGAGTTTACCAGGGGAAAAGCTGTGTGATTTGTGCTTGTTGCGGGAGCACATATACTTAAAAAAAGTTGTGTGCTATTTTTACCCAGTTTTCCCAGTGCTCTTGGAGACTCCGCCCTGTCCGTCCCCATGGAGACGCGGCCGTTGCTAGGGGCGTGGCAGGGCGG